CTTCCCCACCTCATATGTGGCTTTCTTAAATTTGCTTTCTCTTATCTGCGGCAATCAGGCATGATGGGTTTAAGGGCCTGCTACATCTTGTTTCATGGACTTGTGTGTGGGTATCAAAAAATAAAAGATTTAAACTGTGCATTTGGCTACAGATGGGGACAAAGTCTAGGTGGTATAGACTTCTTTACATCTCAGTTTTTTATGTTATACTACAAACACATCTACATGTGTTGCTATGGCGACATTGTTACTGCACCATGATTTAGTACTTCCTTTTGTTGTGTATGGTTATTTTTAGCAGCCACTTTACTGTAGTGGCACACTATAATGGGGGAGCACATTGCTACAGCGAAGTAGCTGCTGGTCAGATGTGGATCCCTGTGGACTCTACATCACTGTAGCACGTTACTATGGTGTCATAGTGTCATGTGTAGATGTGCCCTAGGTTGATCTTTCTTGAACAATTCAAGGTAATTTCACTTCTACTTTCTTGAGTGGATCAGTGCTATCAGCACATTAGTTCTTTATCCCTTTCTAACTTGTTCTAATTGTGCCTTCATATTAGCAAATAAAAGTGTAGAAAGTAAGTCATATAAGGGGAATCAGGGAAGGAAACATGGTTGCTACATGTGGCATACTGCAGCATTAGATAAAAAATAGCAAGTTAATGCTGCCTGATTTCAGGTGCTATTTCTAAGTAATATAATTATAGTTTGTCAAATCATAGAGAGAAACACTGGTTCTTGTTAATAAAAGAATGTGAATTTTTTCCCTTGGAGGTAAGTAGCTTATTTTCTCCAAAGTGTAGGAACCACCTCGAAGGTAATTTTGAGACATTCCTTACTTGAACTTTCTTTAAGAAGATGACACAATGCTCACTGGAAAGAATCTTCTTTCATATAGGCTCTCCCCTAATTCTGATTTATGCAAATCCTGAGTTAAAACCCTCCCTCAACTGGAAAGCTTTTTTGATCTGGCAGTAGAATGGTATTAAGCAAGTTGAACATTTTGTATTTAAAGATAAGAGTGCTACCCAAGCCAAATTAATAGAATATTACAAATTTACCTCCTCCTGAGGTGGTTTACAGTGAGGAAAATTTTGCATTATGCAAAGATGATGAAGGAATGGAATACAATTAAACATCTATTTACAGAGCTGAAGCAGGATACTAACTGTAATAGGAACTGAATGTATGACGTAAATGACTATTTGTATATTATAAGACAAACTGAAACATGAAAGACCAGGAGTCTGGCTTTTTGTGTGGCACTGTTTCCTTAGTTATTTCAAAGCAACAAACTTCTATGTATCAAAGCAATAAACTTCTCAATTCGGTGCTTATGTTCTATGGTACAAACATTTGAGAAACTTGAATATTGGCAGCTCAATTAGGCTCCTTTGGTGTCTGCATCTGGACATGTAGTATTTTTTTTTTATACAAAAATACTAGTGAGCAGTTCTTGTTTGCAAGAAAAGCTTGTGATTATTATAGGTTAAAATATTGAAATGAATTCAGCAAATCCCCCCAAATTTCCAATCATCAGTGTTCTAGCTGGAAAAGTCAACAGAGAAGTCCCATTGCAGGGGAAGCAAAGCTGCTCAGGTGGTACAGCTGTATTCTGTAACAGGTGTCCCACCACATTTTGCTGCAGGAAAGGGACATGGCAGGCTGAGGATGATCAAAGAGAATGTTATAAGTGCAGTAGAGATTCAGTATATCCACTCTGCATTGATTTAAGGTTCATTGGGGTGTAAGTTGCTTTTGAACACCTGAAACAAGTCTTCACCAGCACAATAGTCCTGGCCCACTTGAACACAGTCCTCCCATTCACAGGAGAGGTATCATCAGGGCAGTACTGTCCCAACACAAGGGGGCTCAGGAACAGCTACATCCCTGTGTCTACTACTCCAAGAACATGATGCCTGCATAATACAACTATGATATCTAGGACAAATTGCTTCTGGCCATCAAGGTGGCCTTTACAGAATGGTGCCCCCTCTTGTAAGGAACCTGCTATCCCATAGAGGTCTTGAATGATCATAAAAAACTGGAGCATAAATCTTAGAACTAGTGAAGTTATAGCATGATCCTAGAACTTCACAAGTGGAGCTAGGGAGAGTGTCACAAACCAAGGTGTAGGCACTTTGACTGGTAATTCTCATAAGCCATTAGCCAAAGATCCGAGGGGCAGCTGGGTTCAAAGCTAGAGGGTTAGAGTCTGAGCCAGGGCCAAAACGCTAGGCTGAGCAAGGTCAAGGAGCCAGCTGGGTCAGATACCTGTAAGAAGCAAGTTACAGCAAGGGAGGTTTCGGTTAGATATTAGGAAAAACTCTCACTAGGAGAGTAGTGAAGCACTGGAACAGGTTACCTAGAGAGGTGGTGGAATCTCCATCCTTGGAGGGTTTTAAGGCCTGGCTCAACAAAGCCCTGGCTAGAATGATATAAATGGGCATGGTCTTGCTTTGAGGAAGGGGTTGGACTAGATGACCTCATGAAGTCCTTTCAGCTCTAATTTCTATGATTCTAAGTTAGAGTAGCCTCTGGGGTTGACTGTTTTGAGTTCTTTTCAAAATCACAGATCCATCAACAGAGACCAGTCTTCAGCAGCAACTAGGGTTTCAACTTTTGGTAAAGCAGGAAGGGGAGGGTAAGCAAACTGAAGATTAGGTTCTATCCTTATTCTATGCAACTGTAACACCTTTTCCCCCTTCACTATGCCTTCCCAAAACCAAAGTGCATGTCTTTTTTGTGGGTGTATGGTATGCAGGAAAATATGGTATTACATTATGCTCTCATTGGTCTACTAAAAAGCCTTATTCCATTGTGAAGGAGTTATTCTTTGTTTCTAATGTTATACAGTTCCAATTTCTAGCTCTCAAGAAAAATGAAATACTGGATCATAAATCTATCACTTTACGGGAATGAATATTCCATGTTCTGCGTATCAGGTCAAGTCAATTTTGTAATATTGGTGGAAAATTCCAATGGGGAATAAAAAAGAAGACAGAAGACCTTTCTTCTGCCAGTTTTACTTTAAATGACAGTTGGCTTTAGACACATCATTATAAATAAACCCAGTGGATAAGAATTAGGGGGGAAGAGTACAGGTAAAAATTCAAGAAAAGCACATTTATTACATAGCACAGCATTTATCACATTTGTAATAACATTTTTCATCTATCCCTGTACACACACACACACACACACACACACACACACAGCCATATCCAGTTTTGGAAAGGAAATGAAGAATTCTTTATCCACTGAAACTGCCTGGGGAGGTTAGGAATGAAGAATGTCACTGGAATTTGGACACTACTAGGGTTATAATCCTGACTCTGCTGTAAAGTCCTGCAGAATAGTTAAAGACACAAAAATAGTTGGGGTCTTGGTCTGTATCTCATCTGCATTCAGCAGTTATCTACCTTACTATTTTAGTATAGTTTGTTTTTTTTTTATTATTATTTCTACAGTGTCTGTTCTCATAGCATAACTTGGAAGAAGCTCCTGTATCACCAGTACTACCTTCAGTTCCCATCAAATAACTCAACAGGTCCAGTCCTGCTGAGTAAAAGGGAGCCATGGAAAGTGTAACCAGTCAGCATGTTATAAAATTGTAACCAGAAATAGTAAGGCTGCAGATATTGTGCGTCTGCTACTGTACTTTGAAAGTTTCCATTCTAACAATGAATTGTCTGAAAACACACTTAAAATACCATAAAAAGAGACGCGAATTAAAATTACAGGAAACATCAATTTGTTAAAAAGTAATTATAGAAAAAACCTCCGGCAGCATGAAATTTTGGTGAGCACAAATGTAATGTTATCTGTATATGTGAGTTCTTTAAAAATTAATGTACACATTTTTACAACTGAGATTAAGAAGTGATTGAAAGAATACCTTCTTGAAATAATAGTGCTATATTAATTTTTCAAAGTAATTTTTGTCACTAACCATTGCATTAAGAAAATCTAATTATAATGACAACATGTGCTTCTCTATTTAAGATTATATCAGCTTTTCCATTACAATCTCTTACTTTCCTGGCTATGTAACACAGTGGTAAAAAAAAAATGTGTCCTGCATTGAATCCTGGTGAAAAGATTCTCTATAAAAAAGCAACATTCCTAAAACATGGAAATAGAAATCTGTTTGTTGTTACAAATTACATAGCTGAAATGGGTACCATGCACACATTTTTTGCTCCATTCAAAGCAGGGTCTTGTAACGTACTGGGGATACCCTCAATAGTTAATCTCAATGTAGTTAAATGCCCTCTAGCCCTTAGAAAATACATTCTATAACTTAGAAACATTTGATAGTAGATCATTAACCTACATAATGGGCACTTTATACACAGATAATCTAACACAATATATAGGGAAATAATCTGAAGTGTGAATTTGTGTGTGAATGTATCAATTTGTAATAAATTCCCAACCGTTCTTCCAGGTCTAAAACACGCATTAAAATATGTTCTAAATACAAATGACAAAATACTGCAGTTAGAGAAGTTAATAGGATTTTTTCTTGACTAGGCACTAGTCTATGTTTTAAAAATCTGTAATGTAGATACTTACATGATGGAAAAGTTGAATTTAACAGCAGTGGTGCCTGCTGCCCACCTCCCTGGTGCACTATGCCACTCCACCTCCCCGACAGACTGTGCCCCATGCCCCTGCAATTCCAGTCAAAGTGGGATGTATGTTCAACCTAACCATGAAAGTTCCTTAAGCCCTTCAATAGAGCTGCTGGTGCACTAGTCAAAGTATTGTGTGTATTATGTCAAAGTTTTAAGCATCTACCACTGAATATTTTGCCTTGATCTCTGTATCTCAATTTTCCCATGACTTAAATACGGATGATAATGTTTCCTTACTTTTCAAGTATATTGTGAATTTTTACTAGGGAATCTCTCTAAAGCACTTTGAGATCACTGGGTGAAAGCTGCTAATTACTTATTACATTTTTTTTTCAGAGTAAAGCTCAAATCTTACTTTGCTTCCAGTGCCTCTGCAATGATCCCTGCAGCCATAGGTGCAGAGGCTGAGGTTCCAGTATGGCTGTCTGTGCAACGATGCCTCAGGTCTGTGGTGATCTGGAAGAAAGGGAATGTATGAAATTTAGAACACAGTGTCAGAAATTAGAACAGATTTCATTTGCTCTAGTGAGTCGCATACAGATGGACGGATTTTTTTTTCTCAACTGAGGGACAAATAAGAAAGGCTTCTGAATATGTTGACTTGGAGCTCTCTTATTCCACTTGGAGCTGAAAGATATTTGTGAATTTAAAAGTGTTCACTTGATTGGATAGCACTGAAAATGTAAGTACTCTATTTTCATGGCAAAAAACTTGCCAACTGGGCAAACAGATATAGCAAAAATGAGTTAGACTTTCACTCTGACATTACTTTGTACTTATACAGCACTTTCCCCCAATGAATCTCAAAGTGCTTTACAAATCTAATGTGTTATACCTCACTACATTCTCATACTGCAAGCTGGTATCAGTTATGTTCATTTTGCAGATGAGAAAAGTGAGACATGGAGGGGTTAGCTGATTTGCTGGAGGTCACAAAGGAAGTGTGTGGTGGAGTTTGGAAAAAAAACAGATCTGTTGACCCTACGTGATATGGTTTAACTGAAAGAGCTTCCTTCCTTATATAATAATTCATCTGAAATTAAGCAATAATTCATGAAAAAACTTTGACTTGCACAAATAACTTACTTCAATCATGTTCAAAGAATTTTGTAACAGTCAGACTACCCATCTTCATATGTAATACACAGTCTTATCTTGTAATAAGTTACTTACAAAATAAAAACATTTTACCAATCATTTAAAATATGGCCAAAGTGGAGGTACAAAATGCCCAGTACTATATTAACTCATGAGACAAGACAGGATCATGCACTCAGCATTAAGACATGAACATCTTGGAGAGTACTTATAGGTAGGTATTTCTATCAGAGTTCAAGACAGCTGTAAAAATGTAATCAAACTGGTTTTGATACTGCTTATTTTAAGGGATTAGCACAGAGCTTCCCTCCCTAGATTTGATTCAAATACAAAAAATTTTTCGGGCCGATACCAATTCGGTTTCCGATACAGCTGCGTGCAGCTGGTAAGTCCACTGTGGTGAAAGTGGAGCGGCAGGGGGGCGGGGCAGATCAACACCCCCTGCAGTGAGGGAGGGGGCAGAGACGGGTGCTACCTAACCAGGGTGGTGCGGGGCACAGTGTGGGATGAAGCCAGAGCTCCTGGCAGGGGCAGCTCCTGCCTCTGTTTGCACCCCAGCAGTGGGCACAGGGGTGGCATGTGCCCCTGGATCTGTGCAGAGTGGGGCGGGGCAGGTGGGCTGCAGCTGCAGGCTGGAGCCAGGGCTGCATTAGGCTCTTCTTGGAGTGGGGCTGGGCTCGGGCAGGGGGCTATGGAGGGGGCCGCAACCACCCCAAATTTTGCCATAGCTCCCAGTGCCTCCACCATGCTTCCGGTGCAGCCCCGGCTCTTCCTGGCACATGGGTGGAGGCAGGATGTTGGGACAGGGCTGCACCAGGTGCGCAATAGCAGCAGTGCTGGGAGCAGGACTATGTGGGGTGGGGGGGCTAAGGACAAATCTGAGGTGGCTGCAGCCCCCTCCATAGCCCCTGCCCCAAGCCAAGCCCCCATTGAGAAGAGCCCAGCGCAGCCCCAGCTCTAACCCGCAGCTGCAGCCTGCCCCGTGCTTATCTGGAGGGGCACATCCCCCCGTGCCATCCTGGGGTGCAAGCAGTGGTAGGAGTCATGCCCCCGCATGAGCCATGGCTCTGCCCTGTGCCCCACTCCAGCCTGCCTTGGTTGGGCAGCATCTGCCCTGTCTCTGTCCCCTCCCTCACTGCGGGGGGTGTTGATCTGCCCCCATTTACCTCCCCTTCTACCACAATGGACTCACCAGCTGCATGCAGCTCTGCTCCTTGTTGCCTGAGTGCTGCGCTGTGGTGGCGCGAACACGCAAGCATTTATTGGCCAAATGATCGGCCGTATCGGGCTGATTTCTGATACAGCCAATTTTCTTTATATCGGTACCAATCCGATATCAGACTAATGTATCAGTGCACCTCTAGAAATAAGGTTACTGCCACCTGATAATTCTTCAAAAGTGCAGTTGAAATGAATGGGAGGTATAAGCGTACTTCCTTGGAGACAAAGAGCTTGGTTATAGAGTGGATTGGCTACAGAGGCAAAACTGTTTCCTCAGATCTTTAGGCTAAGGACAGAAAGTACACATTAAACTGGTTCAAATCTATAACACAACAGAAGTGCAGTAAACATAAACTGCTTCCAAAATGGCCAAGACCAGTTTAAGGTAAACCTAGATAAATGTAGTATCAGACTTAAAATGATTTAGGTTAAATTGGTTTATTGATTATTTTTTTTTTTTTTTTTGTCCCCGATCCCCTCCAGATTCAAACCAACTCAGTCCCCCAGCATCCCAGGATGCTTTCCACCTCCCCCTCACCACCCACCCTTGGTACGGTGGGCAGGGTACCCTTGGCCCAAGCTGTCTATTCCAGCTGAACAGAGAAGTGTGCTCTAGGGCCCCCTGGCGCCTGGCCTGGGCCACTGCAGGCATGTGGCTGCATTTCCAGAGTCAAAAGTGAATGTTTGTTCACTTGGTTCTTGGTTCAATCTACACATCTTAGACTAACCTGAAAAGATTGAATCAATTCAGCCTTGGGCTTTTTGACTGTCTGTATTTAGCCTTAAAGTGTATCCTTTAGGTTAAGTCCACTGGTGTGTGCGTGCGTGCGTGTGTGCAACGCTGGCACACACTGTGGGGTTGGGGTGGGGTTGCGGTGTTGATGCCTGCAGTATACCTCTTCCCTGGTTGTACTGTGTGTTGAGTCACTTGTGCTCTCAACCATGTACTTTTCACTGACATTATATTTTGTTTGTCAGAACATTAGGAGAAGGGAAAATCTGGTAAATAAACACCAAAAATACAAATATGTCTGGCTACCATTGGACTTGTAACCAGCTACAATATGCACTGATAACAAGTTACTTTTTCATCCAGTCATGTAAAATGTAACTGAGAAGTGAAAGTGCCACTCATACTTTTTCCAGTAGACATTTGTGCATCTGCTATAGATTTTGATAAAAAGTGTTAGGAGCTTTAGTAATATAAATATGTGAGCATGTCAACACAGAACACTATTCAAGGGAGTAAAGTTAACATGGTAAAGTTAACATGACAGGCATAAGATGAGCTAATTTTGAGACGAAGTGTAAAGTTCTGGAAAATGGAAAAAATATACTTGAGGCATTTACTAGGTCATGTTTCTAAGCTACCAGACTTACCAAATACCTATCTGACTCATCTTCAAAACTCACAAAAGTTCATGGAGAACCACTTAGGTCTATTACTGATTTCCCATCATATAAAAGTATAAATTCTTGATATATCATTTTCTTTTATCTATGACCTTTAAATAAATTTTTCATACTGTCTTTCTAATTCTCTGTCTCATCAATTGTGCAACAATTTAGTTAATGTAAATTAATGACATTAAGTGTGTGTACAAGTTCAAATCTTCTAATGAAAACCACTTATATAGAGCATGCATTGCACCCCCTCTAATATAATTTAACGTTATATTATAATTGTTGTTCCCATAGTAACTAATGTATTTCAAAGGCAAGGGAAAGCAGAGAAAATCTTAAAAAGCTAAATTGAAAGATACAGCCAGAGCCCTGTACAGACTTGTGTGAATGCAAATTAAATCTCATATTTGCAGGAATAATGCAATACTATGTGAAGAAAAGGAGCTATATGGGCTTTGGTCATGCCTTTCTGAAAATTTGGTCCAAAACTATGGAAAAAAAATAGCGTGATGAATAATGTGCTCATCCCCTTCACACACTGACTAGCGCAGCTAGTGGATGCTCCTCTTTGACAAAGAGTACTGCACTATTGAAGTAGTTGTACTGTCCCTGAACTGCAAGATGCTTTGCATTTGACTGAGGTACAACAATGTATTCAGGAGCTCCAGCAGGGAAAAGATGCTGAGTGATCTCTCCCCTACAGTAGCTTTGTCTTAAATGCAGTTTAGCCCTCTATATCTAATGCCTATTGCATTATGTTATCTATGTTACCTATCTATCAGAAGAAAGAGAGTGACTTTCTGTACTTCCTATGATTATCAAGTATAACAAAGCCATTATACTGTTGTGCTTTATGGTCCCATGTAGTAAGTAGGCATTGTGGCAACATTTTTGAACTATAGCCCCTTCTCTCTCGTTTGCACTCAGCAAATCTCACAGGAGAAAGCATGTTTAATAAAAAGAGAGAGACGGAGACAGAGAGAAAGCAAGCAAGCAAACATCCTTCCTAAGGTGGAAATCCCATCTGGGCTGAGCCACTGAAAAGGGAAATTAGTTGACAGCAGCTGAGATGTTTACTATGGAGATCTAAGGCATGTTTTTCAGCATTAAAGGTGCACTGTCAAAGAAGTCGTGTGTGTAGCTATAGAAACAAAGGTGACAGCACAACCACCAACAGGCAAGCAAGCTTCAAAACGAAAAATTATGTTTGAAATACCACAAACACATGAGGAAAATGCCATAATCATAATAAAAAGAAGCAAGACTGATGGGGATATGAAGTTGACATTAGTATATGAAAGATGAAACTCTGTTTAGTAGGGTGAGCGAAGGTGGCCACTGATTTTTGCATCCTTCACCTGGAGTACAATATGTCCATGCTGTAGTATTATTTTAATGACTGCAGATCTAAAAAGTACTGATCACACTGCCGGAGGTCAAGCTCTGTGATATTTCTAATGCTCTGGTCTGCAATCTACCCTTGCCTCTTGTTTAACAACAAAAGAAAGGAACAATTGGATTTGACTGATAATTACAATGTGGTTGGTAAAAGGATAGGTTAATCAATAAGAAATTAATAGCCTAGGACACTGTGATGAAAGTTAGATACAAATTATTAGCCACTACAATGTACTTCATCCTGACCACAGATGGGAGCCAGGTGGCATTCAGGCTAGGCACAGTTTTGTTACAGAAAAAGCCTAAATGCAAGGTCTGTAATGTTTCTGTATGAG